CAAAACTCCATTCGCCTAAATTAACTTTTGTCAGTCTTGACCTGACAGGGAAATCGCTTCTTCGTAGGCAGCCACGGCTTCTTCGACGCTTGAAAAAAACTTTCCTTTTATTTTTTCTTTGACTTCTGGGAATAAAATGAAATCACAAGGAGCTAAGTCAGGGCTGTAAGGTGGGTGACTTAGAATTTCAACACCAGATTCCTCAATAAATACTTTTGTTCTAAGGGAGGTATGTGAAGAGGCGTTATCGTAATGCAGCATGATTTCCCGAAACCCGGTCTTTGGTCTTCTTTCCTACACAGCTTGAAAAGCTTTGGGTTGCTGCAACTGTAGTATAGCATTCAGAGTTAACTGACCTACAATTTTCCAGCATTGACGTCGAAAAATGTCTGTTCCGCGAAAAAAAGTAGCCACCTTTTTTACCGACGTTGCGAGGTCGCAGGAAGGCGAACTAGTTTCACGCCAATTCTGCCTACGCGCTCTCACTTTGTCTTGGCAATGACTCTTTTGAAGGACCTGGAGGTAGAATTATACTTCTTTTTTAGAGCGCTGGTGTTTACATCCAGGGACATTGATGCTTTAGCCCAGGCTTGGTAGTACTCCTGCTTATAGCATGATGCTATTTTACAGGAGCGACCAAACCACGGCTAAGATTTGCCTCCGATGGGCACCGCAGAGGAAGGAATAATAAGTCCCATACCTTGAAGTACCACATCAGCGACAGAATCCGCAACAACGTTGGTTGGTATCATCCATAATTCATAGGTGTAAAAAGGGTGAGAAAAGCGCAGGAAGCATTGCAGGAAAATTAATAGAACTTTGTTTTCTTTTTAAATATTGAATAATTGGCTTATGGAGTTATTTTTTTAAATAAATTTTCTTTTTGGAAACATATAACACGGGTGCATTCCGTTTTTAAATTTCGAGCATCTCAAAATTTATTGAGTGACCTACGTATAAGTCAAGAACTAGACGGTATTATTTCTAAATTTACCCATATTATGAAATCTAGAATAGTTACTTTCTACAACATTTAAAAAGTAATAAAAGAAACGAATAAATACAATTTAAAGTACACTATTGACAAAAAATAAGATTAGCTATTCCTAAAAATATAAAATATTATGTAAAAACATAAACTGAAATATGTACTAAAAAGGTTAACAATTGTTTTTTTTTATTTGTTAGTTACATTTTTGTCGTTTTTATCAAAATCATTCTTAATTGCCAGGACAATCTCACCTCTTTGCTATTAAACACCAACAAAATTGTAACCTATGGATGGTAAATAAACGTACTGGTTATTGAATTGTTTTTTACCACTATATACCCATAGTAGATCAAAGGCCTCTCAATATGATTGCTACGGCCCCGGCACTGTGCACGATCACTCAAGAAAATGTTTGAGCAATCGAAAAACTCATTTAAGTAAACCGAAGAATACCTATGTAGAGCTTGAGTGGTGAAAATATCTTTCCGTAAACTTTAATCGAAATGGAGGCCGTACAAACACAAACACGCTGAAACAAAAAGTTGCCTCGATTTTCTGCAAGATGAATCTGCATATTGCTTTGTGGTAGGTACTAGAGGATCAAAGAAAGATTAACTGAACTGAATTTTTTATGTGTTAGTTGCCTCAGAACTTTTTCCTAGGATTTTTTTTTATAGAATAGGGGCAAACGAGCATGCGGCTCACCTGTTGTTAAGTGACTACCGTCGCCCATGATCAGCCGCATCACTAGGGGAATTGCAGGTGCGTTGCCGGCCTTTTAGAAAGGAATAAGCTCTTAGCTGCCGTCGTATCGGTCCGGAAAAATCGCCGGTGGTAAACTATTCTACAGAGAGGTCGTACGCGGAAGAAAACTCCTTGTGAAACGTACAGTGTTGGACCGCCAAACATCCAGATGGTGTGGATGGTATCGGGACATTTGCCGCGTAGTGCGTTCACGAAATTTGGCGGCTGGGATTAATCCGAACAATTCCTCAGAGCACTCCCCATGGTATATGCGAAAGAAAATGCAAAGAGATGCAACATCTTTTCGCAGCGCCAGTGAATTGAGCCAATCGGAAAGCACTCGGTCGTCGACGATTCGAGCCGCTCTGCGCTGGATGCGGTCAAGTGGAAGGAGCTGGTACTGGGGAGCCCCAGCCGGGAGATGGGAACAGTATTCCATGTGCGGCCGAACCTGCTCCTTGTAAAGTTGCAGGCGGTGTGCTGGCATGAAATACTGTCCCGCTCTGCTGAGCACGCCAAGCTTTTTAGAGGCCAATTTGGCCTTCTCTTCCAAGTGACCACGAAACTGCACGTCACTCGATATGTCGTCGCCGAGGATACCGATACTGGCTGAGGCACCAAGGGGAGTGCCTTGGAACTGGGGATATACGACAAAGGGGTTCATTTTAGCGGTTAACGCGAAAACTTGTGTCTTCTGGGGGTTAAACTGTACTAGATTTAGGCGCCCCCAATCCGAGACTCTGTTCAGCAAAGATTCGACTTCTGACACAAGTTTGTCCCGGTACTCGTGGTTGTAAAAAATTTGTAACTTTACCACTTGTTACAAAAAAAAAATAAGTTTGAAAATTGAAATTTCACTTATTTTCAAAAACCAGAGAAAAAAGCCAAGAGGTTTAAAGATAAGAAGACGTACTGGCTGCTTATAATTTCGAGATTTTTGAGGTGTCTAAAGGAAAGGTCAAAGCACTTTTTGTAGTCATAGTGATATGGAGAATAATAGAATAGAATAGAATAATTTTTATTCAATATAGATTACAAGTAATTCTTATTGATAGTTAATATTTTACGTTACCGCTGGTTCGAAAAAAAAAACCTCTGTCCTGAGAATCAAGGTTTGTCTAGATTTTTGAAAAGATCGATACTAGTAAGTTTTGTCTAAGTTCTATTTTATTTCTTTGAGTACGTGGAAGAGTCCACAAGTGACGCCCTAAACGAAATTTTATATGGGCTAAATCAAGAGTAACTTTTACCAACAAGCATGTAAGTATGCGTACTATATGGACGTAAAAATGGGAGAGAGGTGTGTCAAGATCGTGCCAAATTTAAGTCGGTAGTTTCTGCCTACCCGTCTGGATAACAGGCGTGAGAGTTTATTTTATGTTATGACAAGTTATCTCGCAGGTAGAGCTACCAACAGCAATTGTTATTGTGGCTATGATTATCCTCGCTATAAAACATTAAAATATTAAGAAAATCGTGGACATGATATGGATGATGTTATTATTTCATTTTTTATAGGATAGGGTGACAAGTGAGCACACAGTCCACCTGATGGTAAGTGGTTGCTTAGGCCCAAAGGCATCTACATCTATCCTCGATTACGAATCAAAATGGAGACGCATTGTCACCCGTGAGGGCTTAGCTGGAGTGCCTCGTTTCCTGTAAAAAGGGTCTCCGGTTCTTTACACTCACAATACGAAACACAGCAGCTTAAGCTACTATTTGACGCTGGTATTCTGTGAGAGCGTGGTCCTTCCCCGGTCGAGCCGACCCATTCGTGCTACAACTATACTACTAATATAACTGCAGCATGGCTCTACCACGTAAAATGTATAATGCATGTAATAAAAGTACAATACATACATATTCTCAACTGTCTGTAGCAGATAATCTGATAAAAAACGACAGCCAACATCAAAATACCGTTGAGCATTGTGTTGTTTGCGACTGACCGCAGAGTACCTTTATGCCTGACTGTTTTCTGTTTTAAGCTACGTTGACACGATCAGTCTGTTCAGACTTGCCACGAACTAGCTCGTATAGGAGTAGTAAAGAAATGGCAACTAATAAAAATTCCCAAACGAAAAAAAATTTAATCCTTTGACCGGTCCAAATTTTTCCTTGTTGTGGTTTTCTAACTCTTTTATAAATATGTCTGCGACAACTTTGATGCTTTGAAGCAATAGCAATCAATCTGTACCATATTTATGACCATATAAAACAGAAAAATACTTAGGTGTTTGCAAACCTTTAGCTTATGTTTGTCTCGACTTGCAGCAAAAGAGCAATCGTTATTATGATCTTGAAATCAATTTTCATAAAATTTTGTGTCCAGGGGGTTTTGGGGGCAATAAATCGATCTAGCTAGAATTCATTTTTGGAAAATGTCGTTTTATCCGTGTTATCAGACAATTAAAAACTGCTACAATATCATTAGAATAAGAAGGTAAATATTGGCAGTGCGTTAATGATTATAATAGCTCGAATGAAATATCGCGCGGCTTAGAAATTGCAGTACCCTGGTTCGAATCCTGTCGGCGGTCCTACTTTTTTCCTTTTTTTTTCAATTTCCCTTCTTTTGTGAGAAAATCTATTATTTCGAGCCATTTTTTAGTATTTATTAAAAACAAGAAAATTTAAATTAAATTAATTACACTCATGATTTTTTATTCAAATAACCATTTCAGTTTTTTTGTTATGTCGGTAAGATCAAAAAGTATTATTCATATTTCATCAGTATGTAATTCGTCTCTATATATAATTTCCAAAACATACGATTTCCAAAACAATACGATTTCCAAAAAAAAAATACCGAGCAAAGCTCGGTCACGCAGGTACTAACTCATATAATGAACAATGGCAATATTTTAGTAAACAGCTATCCGTACACTAAAATGACGGTTACTACTAGTGAACTGGAACCGAACGCACTACGATGATGTCAACGCGGCTTTATAAAGTTGAATGAGGGAGTTACGACGCCCGCTAACTGCGCCTCGTGCTCGTGCCTCTGATGCCAGACTGCGCCTGCGGACAGACAGACCGTGTCGTAAGCGCATTCAAGACGCTCTCGTCTCTGTGAATTCTTAAAGAAATGTTTATGTTTATTAATATTTAATACGAAATAACGTACGTTGTATCAGTTTGAGGATGCTTTGTTACATAATTGTGCTATTTTACACTATAAAGTTATCTCATGAATAATGTGAAAGTTCTACAAATAATTATTGAGATGTGGTCCTTTGTGAATACTTAGACAGCATTCATGAATTTAAGCATTAAGGTAATTAGTTAGTTTGTATTTTATGTTGTCCATGTCATAATTTTATGGTTTTTATTTTAGGCACATTGCAAGCAAATAATACCTAATTAATGTGAAATTTTAAAGCCTCTTGTATTTTGTTTTTGTATCCACGAAATAATTTTTAAAATATGAAAATTGAATTGGAAAATATAGATTGAAAAATTTGTACACTACTTTTGATTTTCTATATAAGAGACAACCTTACTTATTTAGAAAAAAAATGCTAAAAGTTAAGATTGCGGCATATTAAGTACGGGAGGAATTATGTTCTTAATATTATCAGGATCAGGTTAACGACATTTATTTATCATATAAGAACAATATACAGTTAGCTTAACAATGATAAATAGTAAATACTTAAAAATTAACAAGTATAAATAAAACATAAAAAATTGACTATCTCCTTAAATCACTAAAAATCAAATTATTATTCTAAAAAAGTGTTAATATTATCAATCTAAAAAGTTTTGCATTTAGTTATATTTAGTAGTGTGTAAAAAATAAATTAATTACAGGTAATGCAAGCAGATATACGACTGTGTTTACTGGTCGCAACACTGGCACTTGGTGTCGTGTCGGGATCGGGACCGTGCGAGCGCGGGCGTAGCTGGTGGCACCGGCAGAGCGGCACCTGCCTCCCTTGCACCCGCTGCGACCCCACGCGCCTCGCCGTCAAGTATCCCTGCGAGCTACACCGGGACACAGTTTGCCAGTCCCTCTACGATGTGCGAATATTTCCATTTAACACACGTCCTCGTAAAAGCAATGGAACGAACGCGAGTGAACAGTCCAGTGATTACGAATATTACGAATACGCGGACTACAGCGGTGAAGTGACAGATAAAAGTGATGGTGAACTAGAATGGGATGTACAAGCGTCAACCTTGACACTGGCTGTGAGTGGCTGTGTGGTGTTCTTTGCAGTGGTGTTGATACTGTCATTGTATCACGCAAGGCAGTGGAAGGTTCTGAAAAAGGCGCTCGAGTCGGGTAAGAGCTTAACGTTTCTCTCTCTCTTTCTCTTATAGAATAAGGGTGATGAATGAACACAGTTCACCTGATGGTAAGTGAATGCTGTGACCCATCAATTAAGAATCAAAAAGCAGATGCGTTGTCACCGCTAAAGACTAAGATGCAATGCCGCGTTTCATTTCAAATAAAAAGGACCACAGATTCTTTTCACTCGCCATATTAAGCTGCTGTTTCACGCTGGTATTCTGTTAGAGCCGACTTTCCCCGATCAAGCCAAACATTCGTGCTAAATAAACAATGATATAGTCGCAGCATGACTCTAGCACATAAAAAAAATACGGAAAACTCGTACAAATTGGAATAAACTAGTAGTTTATTCATAGTCTAGTCAGTCTTCATGGTCTCTAAATTAAATATTAGTTAGATCTATTTATGCTTACTTAGCTCTACCAAGCTCTACAATACAAGATTCAATTTATATACGGTTTAATCAAATCAAAAATGTTTAATCTAGAGAGATGGTGAAAAAAATAGACGACGGTACAATTTTATGGTGATAATCGAGTATATATATACATGGGTGTTCCTCAAGGCTCAATTTTTGGTCCCTTAATGTTCTTAGTTTATATTAATGACTTACCTTACTTGGTAGGGAATAACCATTATATAGCTTTATATTTTGATGATCGATACTTCGTTGATTTTCCGCAAAAAAGGCAATTATTAAAATATGTTGAAGTGAATAATGCTATATCAAAGGTAGTATCACTGATTTAACGTCAACAATTTACTTTTAAACTGTTATAAAACGAAATGTATTAAATTCACCACACCTAAAGTTAAACGGATGAATACCAATGTGCTTTTAAATAAGCAAGAGCTAAGTTGCTACAAGCTGCTAGTAGAATCCACTGTATGGATAGCAAACCACTCTTTCCACTGCGAGCGTCCTAATTCTCGGGCAACAATGTTAGTAGAAATGGTTGGATCCAATCTTAAACGTTGAACTATTTCATTGTCTTACTCTTCGTCATCACCAATGACGCGTGGTCTAGCCAGGTCTGTCCGTGGTCTTGAAACAGAGCCAGTCTTTTTAAGTCATCAATAAATTCTATCAAACACACTAACATCTGGCACTCGGCGGCCGAGATCTTTAACCGCACTAACCAATCTAATTTAATATAATATGTATTACTTGTGAAATACATTGTGTTTTCATGCGATGGCCCAAGTCCATCTATTTATTTAAAACATAAAAGATTTTTAATATTGATATGGTCACAATAAGATGTGTTAGCTGATTACGTAATAACTTAAGACAGAAGGACATTTAAATGGGGACAAAATAAATTAACATCGATATCACAACTTTTACAGTAGAAGAACTGAGTTGCGAAACTTGGTTTTTCTTTCAAGTTTTGTTTTTGATGGCATCTAAGTTTTTTCTAAAAATTATGATAATATCCTAGATTGTTATACCTTATTGAATAGCTGAAGAAACGTAGATATTTTTAAGTACATCTGCAATATAACTGCCATAAATTTTCTTTTTAATATTCCTCAAAGGAAAAAAAATACTTTGCACAAATTTATTTCTTTTTTCAATCAATCGTGTACTACGACCCAGAATGTTCATTTACCTGAAATCATGGTGTTAAAAATAATAAAGCAAATTATCTACTACACAAAAATCGTAAAACAAAATTAATCTAAAGGCACAAATTACAAAAAAGAAAGCAGTACAAAAGATTTTTTTTTTTAAAAACTCTAATATCCCAATCTTGAATACAGTTAAGTATGGAGTATGGTGTTTCATAGTCGAATCAGTCGGCAATGATAGAAACAACCCTCTAAAGGATCTAGGTCGACTTAATCTGTAACCCTGTATCCTGTATATATAAACGAAAATTTTATGTATGTACACAAAAACAAAAACAGTTGTATTAAAAACAGTGATGTACATTCTGTAAATACTAGGGACAAGCACAAGTTAGTCATATTAGTTACTCCACTCCAAAGAGTCAATAATTTCTTAACGGGGAATTATTATACTTAATGGGGGTAATGTATATGCTTTTAGATCCAGAAAATTAGTAGGCCTTATACATATCAAAAAGTTTAAAATTTTGTCAAGCAAAAATTGTTTATTCTACTATAGTGTACATGATTGATAATAATCCTTGGGAATGTGTAAATAAGGTGATCGCTTCCATGCTATTTCTAAATGTTTTCACATTAACTAATGACTAGACTAGTAAATTAATATTTTTATTTTAAAAATGTCCCGCTTGGTTTCTTACTGGTTCTTCCCAGGACAAAGGTTTTCCCAACAGTGATATAGCTTAAATGACTTTGAATAAGTGTTGTAATCTATATTGAACAAAAATGATTCTATTCTATTCTATTCTACAAAGTAAAAACTCTGTAAATGGGAAACTGTGTTCAAGATTTAAGGCTAGAACTCTCTTGTGCTAATGCTAATCAACTATAACAACGAAAAACTCGTATCTACAAATCGGAATAGATTATTAGTATATTCATACTCTAGTCAGTCCGCATATATTCATAGTCTAGTCAGTCCGCATATATTCATAGTCTAAACTAGCAAACAAACTAAGGCTCTGCAGCTTATCCTGTAAAAATAATTAGAGCTCTTACCAGTGTCGAGACAGCTAGATTAGTTTATTTTAGTTATTTCCATAGCATAATGTCATACGGGATTTTGTTTGTTTGTCAGAAGAGGTCCATGTGAGCTATTTACAACCTTAAACCGAGAGAGTCTCTTAGAGAAAAAAATTAAAGAAATGAATATGATGATGATGACTTTGAACTCTCAGTATATCTACGAAGATTTACTGTATATTCACAAAAAAAGGTAGTTTTAGTAAAAGAAGTATCACTTCTTTTACTAAAACTACACTCTGTAAACACTAGGAACAAACAAAAGCTAGTGATACCAGTTTCTTAATTCCATAGAATCAGTAATTCATTCTTGGGGCAATGTATACGCTAGTACAACAAAGTCCTAGAAAATATGCAAGGTCTCTGTTCTATTACCAAGTTTAAATATTTAATTAAACAAAAACTATATAAAAAGGGTTATTATAATATAAATGAATATATGGTTGATAATAACCCCTGGGAATGAGGTGGTCGCTTCCAAGCTGTTTTTAAAATAAATTTTGTAAATACAGTGCAATCTTAATATAACGTACCTTAATATAACGCCTTCCTCGATCTAACAAATTCTTCGTAATCCCCTTGAATTGTCCATAATAGTCAATGTAAAATATACCTTTACATTGCGAACATTTCTTGCGAACAACCTCTTTATAACGAATTTTAACTATCAAGAAAAAGTGTAAATACCTCTAATTAACGAATTTTGTCAACCCAAGACCTTTATATAAAGTTTATTAGTAGAAGTTGTGAATAAAATTATTTTTTTACCTCTTTATAACAAATTTTAGACCAACCTAACTTTAACATAACAAACAGTTCAACGAATTACTCGATATAACGAGTATTAACTTGTTCCCTTCCGATTTTTTATATATTATTATATAGGTTGCATTTTGCTGTATTTTGTGACCATTGATATTGAAGAATAATTTTTTTTAAATGATAATGCTGCAAAATGTATTCTAAACAATTCAATAACCTTTACAAACGTCTTTCGCCCGCGTATAAATGAACTCTTTATCAAAAATAAGTCGTGTATTTACGTTTTATAGGTATACTTAATTTTTAAGAAGCTTAATACGATTATTTAATTTAGAGACCATGAAGACTGACTAGACTATGAATAAACTAATAGTCTATTCCAATTTCTACGAGTATTCTGTCAAATTTTTTTGACTAGTAGAGTCATACTGCAGGTATATTTTGGTTTATTTAGCATGAATGGTCGGCTTGATCGGGGAAAATTGGCTCTAATAGAATACCAGCGTGAAACAGCAACTTAATGATAATAGGAAAAACTCGTATAAAATTAGTTTATTCATAGTCTAGTCACTATTCGTGGTTATATGATGATAATAAATTAAGAACTTCTAATAATATGTTCTGTTGTTTTAAAAATAATTGCAAAAGATAAAACATTTACAAAATAAGAAAACAAACTTGTCGCGATTCCTTTCGTGACATGGTATGTCTGCGTAAATCTGTGATAAGAATTCTTAGATTCTAAGATATTCGCCGTCACCGACTTTAGCTTTTCGTAATGTATTTGCAAGCTTATATATTTATAAAAAATATGGTATATGGTTGAAAAATCACAATCGAAATCGAACTAGACGTAGAGTATCCTAGAGTAGAGAGGAGACCGCGGCTCGTAATATTATTACATTATATCTTAATCTGTGGGACCGCCTTGTCCAATTCGTCCGTTTATTCGCGTGGGACGGCCTTGTCCAGTCCGTCCGTTTATTCCAACGTAAAAAATATAAACATAGTATTGGGTGTAAAAGACATTAGTAACCTGTGTGTTCTCAAATATATAATACCTAGTTTTGGTTTAACTAGATAGGTATAAATATACTATATTTTCATAACATTGGAGATACTATCTACTTTTAGAACGCTTTGTTATCTTTTGGATCGTACAAAAAGTAAACAATTCGTAGCCTGCTGGTTTTGGTCGATGTAAACCAAACAGAATAACAGTACAAGGTTTGGCGTCGATCCATCCTGTTTTTAAAATTTGTATAGAATCATGTACTTAAACAAAAGTAATAGTATAACTATTCACTAGTTCTTGAGCATTTAATAGAGTTTATCGTTACAGTACTACAGGGCCTCGAATTCGAATCTAATCTTCTATTAAAATCACTGTACAATGTTTGTGCATGTGAAATTTATGTGTATAAAATGCCGTCATGATATAGTAGCAAATCCTATTTTGAGGAGCTACGTTCCTTTTTTAAAGAGAAATACTTAAATTACCTCTTTACGTATAAATCTTTTTCTTTTTATGTGGTGTATTTGACTTTGAAGATTGTGTAGGGTGTTATTTACTA